TGAATAATAAGTTGTTGACTGTGTTTTGAGTCCTTTGGCTGAGTGTATTGATTAGCCAGTGTGGTTAACATCTGTCATATCTGGTTTGTTGCTCATTTCAGGGGCCAAATTACATGTGCAGTTTAACATTTGATAGGGTTTTACATTTTTTTGAGTGTTTTAAGCTTTGTGGTGTTAATTGGTGAAGGCAAAAGTGCACCTGGAATTGTTACTACAGGGGTTTGTTTTTCAAAATTTATTTGAAGTCTTAAGATTTGGCACAAAAGCTTCCACAAATAGATGCAAAAGTTTTATGTTTTTATAGTACTGTGAAGTTAACTGACTTTATGTAAGGAATGGATTGTCGAAATAGTACCTAATTAAATTTGGTACTCTTCTCTGAATTTTTTTTTTTTTTTTGAGTGTTGACTGGTTTAACACAGGAGGCCAAATCTGGATTGGCTCTTGACTTTTCATAAAATGTAATATTCCTGCTTTCTATATGGTAGCTTATTTGGCACATCCATCCATAAAACGAAAGGAAGTCAAATTCCTGATGAATAAAATATGCAAGTTACTAACTTTTGACTTGTTCTCTGTTTATGTTGTGCTTAAGTATGCTTTCGTTATATTAGATGACTTCTTGTCTTCCTGTGACCTAGGTGAAAATGAGTTTTTGTATGCAAAATAAAAAAGCTATCTTAAATTGCTTTTTTAATGAACTTCTAAGCACAAGTTCTCAAACTAACAAACACTGAGGTGAGTAATATATGAATGTTGTTATAAAATTACTGTAGACTAAATATGAATTTTTAAGGAAGCTATCTATAAGATTCTGGTTCTATATAAAAAGTGTAAGCTGTAAATGGAGAAGCAGATGACACTTTTGCTCTGGTCTTTTTAGAGAAGCAGTTCTTTGGAAGCGAGGGAGAATTAGTGAAAATAACTTCAGTGTCATTTTTAAATGCTGTCTGTTAAACAGATGATAAAACTGCTGAGGCATGTTATGCTGACACTTTGCTGTTGAAGCAGCCAGCAGGGCTGAAGGTCCTGCAGAAACATATGTTGCATAATAACCATTGATCTAACAGTATGTATCTTCTCTATTTTGAAAATGCTGGTAGGTTCTTATATCTCAGTATCATAGGTAGTTGATCATAGATGCCAACTAAAAAGAAATGCCTACGTGTCATTAAAAAAAAAAATCTTCTCACCATCTACCTCTACCCCTTAAAAATACATGCAACAAAGTATTTATTGCTTTGCAAGATAGAGAAAACATTACTTTTAGAATCTATGAATTTGGTAAGATCTTAACATAATTGAATTTTTTTTTAAACTTATTTTCCTGTCATGAATAGCATATGCTGGCAGTATTTTATGGAAGAAAAAAGCTCACTTTTCTCGATTTAGAGTTCTAGAGAACCAAATAATATACTCAGCGCAGCATGAAAAAAAAAATACTTGGTTGCTAGTGTAGCTCAGGAAAGTTGGGGGGGGGGTTGGTTTGGGGGTTTTTTTTTTTTCATTCTCATCAAGCTTGTAACTAATGTTGATGTTTAAGCAAGAAGAATGTTGGTTTTATAAGGGATCTATTGAGCTCTTGTTTTCTTAAGCAGCGATAGTCAGGATCACTGTTTGTTTTTTCAGTTTCAATTGATACTTTATATTCCCTCCAGTAGAAGCTGTATGCTTTCTCATTTTGCCATACAGTTGTAGATTTCTGTGTGAAGACCAACTTATGCACAACTAGCTGTCTGTTTAGTTAGAAAAAGACTGGGAATGTACGTAAGTTCTAATTCATGCACTAACACCAAGAAAAATTAGTCACAGAAGTTGGTAGAGAAAATACCTGTTATTTCAACACCCCAGTCTTCTACAAGAGCTGTTTCAAAAGGCACTGTGAATTAAGAAAGCAATTAAGAAAGGCATTAAATTCAGTTAACTGTCTTCAAACGTGGTAAATTATGGATAATGTTCTCAGTACTGCTTTTAAGTGTGTGACTCAGATAAGCATGTCTGTTTAAAATCTCCTTCTATCCAGTTTCTGATGGGAATTGCAGAAAAAAAAATCTCAAATCTTAACTGTTAATGCTTATTAAGTATGTATTCATAAAATAGATGCAAGTGAGTTTTGGACTGGATTACTTTCTTCTGGTGCTTTTCCTCTTTGAGCACTCACTTTGGCATTTCACTAGAGTTCTTTAAATGTATTGTATACAGCAGCTGTCTGTCCTCACATGTTTTTAATAACTTTCTATAGACTAAACCAACGAATCAGTAAAATAAAAGGCCTCTTTGTTAGTGTATTATGGCATTAATTGAGGTTTATGCACTTATGGTTTGGCAAGCAGAAAGTTTGAGTTCTCTGGCTGTTAAGAAATTAGAAGTTGACAAGAACAACTGACCCACTTGTCTGTCTTGGAAAAAACTGGGATGCCTGCTCTCATGAAACAGAGATCCAAACAGTTTCAACTCCATTGGCATTTAATTGTTAACGTGTTTGATGTCTGTTTCAAAGCTTCTTTGGCGCTTCTTTGAAGGCAGTTAGTCAGCTTGTCATAGCGAGAGACATTGCTAAAGAGCATTCCTGCTATCTGATCTATGTATTAGTTGTTTGGAGGTCAACAAAAAATCTCCACTGGAGGATTTTACTCTCTGGCTGGAGGAGAAGGTAATGTTAAAGGTTGGTTATTGAGGCTAGCTGTGCTAAAAATAGCAGGAGAGACAGCAGAATAATAAAGTGAATAACAGGAGCCTGTACTAAAATAATGCTGGTAACAAACACAATGTTCTGAGGTTTTCTAAAATACAACAGACTTTTGTCCCACATTCCAGTAATTTATTTGAAAGGCATGTTCCACTTGAGGATTGCCAAGAACTTTACAAATACTAAGCCTTTTAACATGTCTAAGGTATGTGCCGTGCCATTTTAAAAAGAACCTTATAGGCAAAAATGATAGCTATATTTTTCCAGAAGCTTGTGGTCTATAATAGTACAGAAAGTTTTCCTTCAGTAGTTCAGGGAAGCTTCAGACTCTCCAGGTGTGAAAACCTGTTGAGGCTTTCTATCTCAAATGAGTTTGTGAACTAAAAAGGTGGGTAGTTTTTTTTATTTCCACCCCCTTCCCCCCCCTAAAATCTGAATATAAGACGTACACACTACAAATTAAAGCTATATATCTCTAGGTTTCTAGCATGTTATCATCTATGACAAGCTCTGCAGTCTACTTGTGCTTTTTGGAGGTGTAAAAATTAGAGCTTATACAAATGTGTGGCACTGGTTCTCCATATACATGTATGATTTAAAAATTAAATGGACAAACTTAGGACAACAGAGCTAAAGAAAAAGAATACCAGAATTATTAAGGGAGAAGGAACTGCTTCAAGAAATACCTATGGCCTTTAATGTCAGAGCTGTTTGAATGGAGAATGCCGTCAATGGGACAAAAAATGAGTAGAACTGGACTGCTAGAAGAAAAGTGAAACACACGGCTTTGCCCAGAGGTGGAGGGAATAGATGTCGGTGAGATGCAGAGCTTCATAGTGGAAGGTTTTATGGAAGAAAGCCATCAAAATCCTTGGGTGATGAGCTTGAATAAAAGCTTGTGGTACACCAACAGATTTAGGAAAGAATAGGCATCAAATCTTTTGTTGGCTGGAAAAATCGGGAAGACTAGAAATCCAGAGGCTGCACAGGCTACACTGTTGAAGACTTTCACAGTTCCTTACTCTGTCTCTGTGAAAAAGCGTAGCCTTGTTATAGTGTAGATTTTTGAAAAATGCTATCGGCTTATAAACACCTTTTAAAATATTCATGCCCTCTTGATTTTAGCACACAGGCAGTGATATGTCTTCATGTTAAATGACCCATATAATAAATTTTCTTGCTTTTGTGGAGGTTCGTGAAGGCTTTAAAATCACAAATGAACTTGAAACAACTCCGCGTATGCTCCAGTAATCTAGTAAGAAGTCAAGTTAAGTACTTTGACTGTTGGCAGTGATTATTGGCAAATACTGAAATTATCTAAATTACTAAAATCTTAATTTCTTTGGCAGGCAAAAATCAGTGATCAAAAGTAAACTGTACAATGATGCCATGTATTGTCAGTCCCTACCCTGCTACTACAGTGTAGGCTGGAGGGAATCAGGCTGCAAAGTTCCGGCATTCATAGTCTAGTCGTAGTCAGACAGTCCAGACATCCAAGTCAGGGCAGAATCTTTCAGATTTTAATTGTTAAAGCTAAACTCCCCAATGTGTGTAGGCAAATGGTATTTTTTCATAGATATAACAAATTTTAGCACATTTTCAGGTGTCAACAGGAATGTTGGGCAGAGGGTAGGGGAAATGCCAAACTTGAAGCTCCTGCTGCCAGGCTTGGGAATGCTGGAATTGCTGGAACTTCCAAAGCACTTATCACAGATGAAACTTATTTTTGCTTATTTTGTCTTATTTTTGACAGTAGCTGTATTATTTTGAAAAGAAAAAAAAGTTCATATGTATGTCTGTTTTAAACAGCTGTCTAGGCTTTTAGAAATTGTCAGGCATTCCTAGGAGGAAAGTCTTTAGTTCTGTGTTAATCCGTGATAAATGTTTAGTTGCCTAACCATATACCAAGACAATTATTTTACTGAAACAGCTAAGGGGAAAGAATGCCTTTACTCTTTGCCCTTTAGGATGATGTTTCTACTGGAGATGCTGACCATCTTAGTCCTGATGCTGAACAACTCTCTCTTGGTTGTATTACCATTAGTCTATATGATTTAAAAAACAATCTAAATCACCACCCCCAGCTCCCTCATACCTCATTTATTTTGAGGAAGGCAGAACTGTCCAAGGCTCTGAGTGTTGGGTCAATCAGAACTCGTTCTGTACAGAACAAGTTTTGTTGTCTATAATTTAAGAGTGTCTTCAAATTCTTGGAAAGCATTACTATGCTATCAGGGTTTGGAACAATGTTTTTAAAACACTTTGCAACTTTAAACTTTCTGTGTTTTTTGCTTGTTTTTATTTTCTGTAGACTCGAGATGATTTTCTTGGGCAAGTGGATATTCCTCTTTATCAGTTACCGGTTTGTATTTTTTGTTTGTTTGTTTCTGTTTTAAGACTGCGAAAGAGAAAAATGATTCTGTATGCAACTGTATTAGTCATCTAAGGAAGTTAACTGTACTGATAATATAGGTGATTAAATTCTCCTGCTCTGTGGGTTTTTTGTTTGGTTTTCTTTTGTGGATTTGATCTTTATCAAAAGGTGTAGATTACCTTGTGTTTACATATTGGTTTCTGCTGCTACGAGAGTTAGGAGTACTTTTAGCTTTTTCAAGAATAAAAATGCAAGGTTTGAAACAGTCTTAAAGACAAGAAGAGATTGTAATTATTGCAATATTTCTTAAAATATTTTCTTTAAAGTCTACAAATTTACTTTTAATATTCCTTATTCCCATAAACAGATACAGAAGAGGGTAAGTGGGAAATAGAGCTAGTGTTGCTGTGTACATTATTTTTTGTTTGTTTGTTTCTGTATTCCTTTTGCAAAGCATGTTGTTTTAAAGAAATATCACCAAGAACATTGAAATACGTAAGCCTTTTCATTTTCTTCTGAGGTCTCAAAATATTAGCAAATACTAACAGATTTATCAGCAAAGATAGGATAACAACTGCGGCAAAGCCTTTCCAAGAGCAGTTGTTCTTTCATTCCAGTAAGAACTGTGTTGGAAGTAGTTACAGGTATGTCCTGTTTCCCACTGTAACTGGGATGTGAGATCACGTTAACTCCTCTCCCTCGGTTAGGTGTCTGGGAAAGACTAGCTGTAATGTCCCTCTGGAGAAGACTGTCTGTGTTTTCACTTCCCACTAATAAGCTGGACAGCCATATCTGGAGTCTTTTGGGAGATGTTGGTGCATTCCCCCCCCCCCGAACTAATTTATAGAGCCTCACTTGAGTATTTCCATGGCTATTTTCTTACCTTCCTCAAACGTCGACTTTTCCCTGTCTCCTCTTTGTTTCCGTCTTCCTGTTTCCTTGTTCTTAATTACTTGGTCTTGCCATCTAAATCCATTGTACTTTATTGGCCCAAATATAGGTGGATTTTTTGAAAGTCTTTCATTTACTTAAGTAAATATATCTTGGATAAATAAAATCAGTTTATAAATTCTTTATTACATGCAATTTTAGTTTTGCTTGATACTATGCAAATGCAGGCTGTTCATAACTAAAAAGAGCTGGTAATCAGGGACATGTAAAAAGGGCAAATCATCTGCAAGGTAAATTAGTAAAGATAGTTGGCAAGTAAGTTAGTAAGATAGTTGGCAGATATGAATTTGCTCTTTCCAAAACCAAAATGTATTAATCCAAGTGTAATCTAGCATTGAATCGAAGGTAACTGTTGTTTTTGGAAAGTCAGAAAAATAATTATAAAACTTAGATTAAGAAGATAATTTTTTTCTTCTTCTCTCCCCTGTGATGTATTTCCACAGTGTCTTAGTGTGTGTGTTGGTAGAAGTAATGTAATGCTGGAGGGTGAGGGGGGGAAGCCCCCAAACCCCACAAAACCAAAAGCCAAGCTTAATTCCATTTTAATTTCAAAGAAGTATTTACCTTCGTTGTAAGACAATTAATTTTATAAGTATAGAACCTGACCTTGCAGATAACACCAGTGTAATACATATATCGTTATGGGATTGAAGATCTGCATTTTAATTCAGTGAAGGTGGAACACTTCAACTTGAATGTAGTATTTCTAAATTGTATTAATAAGAGCTTACACTGAAATGTCTGAAATACAAGAGAGCATTTTTCTTTCTGAGATTCAGTGTAATAGTTATCACATTCAGTAAAATTTAGTCAGCTGAATCTTAGGACTTTCTCATAACAAAGTTCAACAGTTGCAAATAAAATTCTAACTCTAACTTAATAATGTCTAACCTTTAGATCCTGGATTTTTGTTTCTTTCCAATCAAACATTGACACATATTAGATATTTTTGAAAATACTATTATGGAACTAGTTCAGCCTTTGAGGACTGCATCATGTACCGTTGTTCTTAATTAAAAGGCCTACAAATATAGCAATTGCAAGTTTTTTCTCATACAGTACTTATTGAAAGAGTTAAAATGCATTGATTAACGACAGCCTTGAGTTACTCCACAGAATTTACAAACAGCTGAAAAAGGGGGTGGGGAAGACTTAGAGATTTACAAATGTTTCTAAACATACGGTATTGTCAAAATCAAATTTTTTTAAGAATTGCAGAACTTCAGATGGATTATAAATATTTATGTTAACCAGAAAAAGAAATATCTTTGTTTTCTTTAATGATCCCTCATAAATATTTCTTTACCTGTACCTGGGAGGTATATTTATAAAATTATGTCTCTTTACGTCTGTGCTTATTTCTGTTGAGCAACTTCACTTTCGTGAGTCAGAACAGAGGTGTTCTCAGAATGGATTCTTCTGTGATTATTCTTCTTATCTCCCAAGTCCTAAAGCTAGAAATGGCTTTTTATTTATGTTCTGTGTAAAAAATATTTGAAAAATACTGAGGAAAAAAACCCAGAGGTATGGTAGATCTTTTAAATGTGAAAATTGAGAATCTGTCTCCTGACTTCAGGCTAAACAGGTTTTTGTCTGTGCTTTAGAAACTGTAATATAGGTATACACTGAAAGGTTGGGTTTTTTTCTTGAACTGGGGAATTAGTCTTACTAGTAAGATTAAATCTGGTATTGCTATTAATTGTACCTAAACCTATAATTTAAATTTTAAAATGTTATGTGGCCTTTAAAGAAACTCATTGTAAATTTCTGATAATTTTGTTTAGCTTCAAGTGTTTGATACAGTTTTTTTCTTGAAAAAACTTGTCTTATTCCAGACAGAAAATCCAAGTATGGAGAGACCATATACATTCAAGGATTTTGTTCTTCATCCAAGAAGGTTAGTAAATGCCACATAAAAATTCTAACTTTCATATCTAAACAACGCTGTTATGTAATTACTTGTACATATCTAAATATTGTCTAAATTTTTATGTTTTCATTAAAGAAATTTGAGCATCAGTGGAGTAAGATACTTGTAGTTCTACTAGAAAGTCAGCATTTGTTTAGAAACTTACACATTGTTTGGTAAGAATAAACCATTTTTCTTCAGGCCATGATATAATTCACATTATAACTTCATCTGAACAATTTACTGTTTTGCTGAACAGTGAAATCACTGACCAATGTTATGCCATAACTCATTTATACCTTTTCAAGTTGAAATTGTTTCTTGCCTTCCTGTGTCTTTTGTTTGCCTGTTTCAAGTAAGCAGTTTCATGTGAACTTGTTTACAAACATAACAAAACTTAAACTGAAAAGCTACTTAACTTTTAGGAAGGCCTGTGTTTAAAAAAAAAAACCAAAGGAATTTTTAAATGATAGGTAACACTTTGACACTGATATTAGTGTTATGCATTTCATGTTTGTTTTTTAAATGTAGATTCTTAACCTAAATCTGAGCAGGTTTTAGCAACTTTTATTAGAAATAAAATACATAAAATGCATGTCAATGTTTTTCAGATAATAGCTTCCAGTTTAGAAATAACATCAAAACATGTGGGATCTGTAGATCTTTCTTAGCCATGTTGGTAGCAGAAGTATTTTTGAAGTATTTTACATTTATTGATTTTTAGGAGATCAATGGTTTTAACAGGGTTAGTGACTGTCAAGTTTCATTTTGATCTCCTATCTTTCTGAATGTAACATTTCCTATCCTATAAATGAATGAAGAATAATATTTATTGTCTCTAAATAAGTTAACTTAAATTGTTGCTTGTTAATCTGACCTCTTCTTGTAGTGGCTACCACATGAATTTGGCAATACTTTGTAGTAAGAGATACTGTCACAGTTTCAGGCACTTTTCTGCCTTGAAATCATGTAACTTTTAGATGCTTTAGTATTGTTTATGCATGTTCTCCAATTTTGCTCATATTTGCATTTACTTAGACAGAAATATTAATAATAAGAATACTACCTTCCCAATACCTCAAGCTGAGTAAGAATTATTAACATGTTAATAATCTGAAATGAATTACTTTAACTATTGTATTGGAAAGTAAGATAGCAGGTTACCTCCTCTTTCAAAGGGATGTGGGCTTTTCTGAAACCAAAATATGATCTGAATGAACATGTTTATAATCCAACATGTGTCGTGGTTTAACCCCAGCCAGCAACTAAGCACCACGCAGCCGCTCACTCACTCCCCCCCATCCAGTGGGATGGGGGAGAAAATCGGGAAAAGAAGTAAAACTCCTGGGTTGAGATAAGAACGGTTTAATAGAACGGAAAAGAAGAAACTAATAATGATAACACTAATAAAATGACAACAGTAGTAATAAAAGGACCAGAATGTACAAATGATGCACAGGGCAATTGGTCACCACCCGCCGACCGACACCCAGCCAGTCCCCGAGGGGCGATTCCGCCCCCCCCCTTCCCAGTTCCTAAACTAGATGGGACGTCACATGGTATGCAATACACTGTTGGCCAGTTTGGGTCAGGTGCCCTGGCTGGGCATGAGAAGCTGAAAAATCCTTGACTATAGTCTAAACCCTACTGAGCAACAACTGAAAACATCAGTGTTATCAACATTCTTCACATACTGAACTCAAAACATAGCACTGTACCAGCTACTGGGAAGACAGTTAACTCTATCCCAGCTGAAACCAGGACACATGAAATGTTTTTCTGGATATCAGAAAATCTAAATCATTTTTTCTGCATGGAAAAAAAAAAAGGCAAAGCGTTAGACTTTAGTGATGTGTTGGGGTTTTTTTATCTTTTCATAAGATGATGTGCAGGTATCCAGTTGACTCACTAGTGATATTTTGAGGACTTTTATTTTCTTTCGTTTTATACCAATAGTCAAACAGACGAGATAATTTGGCAGATTTCTTTACCAAGTGAAAATATTAAATAAAATCAAAATGGGAACATCCTATTTTCAGGCTTCTAATGATGCATTAAGCTAAATACAGAGGGGTGGATGCTGAAGTACATGAGCTTGCTGTAACTTAAAGTTTTAGGAAAAGTAGTCCTGTAGGTTGAAACAATGCTTGATAGATTGTCTACACACAGTCAAATTATTATAATCATATGAACTAAATTGTCATTATTCTTATTTTCTTGTTCGTTATTGTTATGCATTGGATACTAGGGAAGTTTTCAGAAGAGTGAATTGAAAAGAAAGGTTTCCAGTTATGGTACATAATATCAAGGTGTATTCAGTAGTCTAAAAACTCAATACCATTGTAGAACTTCATTAATTTAAACTATAAAAAGCCAAGTTTGTGTTAAGAAACTTAAGAATAATCCTGTAGCTGTGCTTTTTCAGCTATTTTATTTCCAGGTAACAATTTCACAAGTGCACAATAAGAACATTTTATTTTCTCTTCTGCAGCCATAAATCAAGAGTTAAAGGCCACCTTAGATTAAAAATGACTTATTTACCTAAAAGCAATGGGTCTGAAGAAGAAACCACAGAACAGGCTGAAGAATTAGAGGTACGAAAAGATGTATTTATTGCTGAAAAACCTAGCAAATGTCTTCAGCTATTAAGGGTATTTACAGTAAAAATGAATGTTAGGAATCACTAAGCTATACAGTGTTTTAGAAACAAACCAGTCAAAAGCAATTACTTGTATCTTGTATAAGTTGTAAGTCTGCATAAAAATTCTGGAGCAGTTTTTCTAACTAAAGGGGTGGCTTTGTCAGTATATCTAAAAAAGAAAACATACATTAGACTTCTGGTTTTGTTCTGGTACTGACTTGCCATATGTCTGTGTAACTTGTCTTGTTTTAGAATTAATGGAAGTATTGTTGCCCAGTATTTTTACTGCAGTTTAACATTGTGTGACCCCAGCCAGCCAGCCAGACAGTGACATCTTGCTGGTTTTAGAATTTCAACTCTCTCCAATTTATAGGGATATTTCGATCTTAACTACTTTACATTTGTAATCTTTGTAAGCACATCCAATTTAGATCAATGGATTTCTTTTCAAGACTTAACTCTAATCAGCATTACTACCTTTGCTGTGATTAAACTTTCTGTTACAAAATGGTATGCTCATCTGACTAGTACATTTGCAGCATATGTATGAAATGAAATTTATTTACTTCTTTTAATCTATTATGTGAATGCTGTTTACTTTCCTGGAATAAACAACTTTTGATGCTAATATGTTTAAGGAACTTGAATTAAAAGTAAGATTTCTGCATGCATAATTTGTCCTATCATTTAATGAGAAATATACACAATAAAACCCGGATCCAATCTTACTGGCTTAAGATGTAGTGGGACTGTACCTTAAAAGGGGGGTGGTTTAATAAATTGAGATACTTTTTCAGCTTTGGTAATATTAAAGGTGGTTAACATTATACCTTTTAGCCTGGGTGGATTATATTGGACCAACCAGATGATGCCAGCCAGCCACAACAGCAGCAGCAGGAATCTCCTCCGCTACCTTCAGGCTGGGAAGAAAGGCAAGACATCCTCGGCAGGACCTACTATGTCAATCATGAGTTCAGAAGAACACAGTGGAAAAGACCAACTGCTCAGTATGTCTTTTGGCCCGAAAATTCAAGTCTTATATTAACTAGTGTAACTAGTTAACTCTAGTTATGTTGAAAGCAAGGAGAGCTAGAAAGTGAACAGCTTGAGAACTAGTAGAAAGCTTTCCATTGCTTAACCTTCAAGCCCCCAGGTAATGGTCACTGGCTAGTGATCATTTTAACTGCACAGTACTCTTCCTGTTCTCTGGAAGTATGCATTCAAATAGAAACTGGTTGCAATTGTAAGAGATAATAACTGTAGTAATGGAAAGGAAATTATTTTCCAGCTCTAAGCCTGGTGCCTCCTTCCCAGCAGGGACTGCATTAATTTGTTTACCTTGGTTTTTTCAGATTCCGCCCCCCCCCCGCCGCCTTAGCATGTGAATTACAAAAATAATACCTGGAGTGCTATCTGGTTCTTCAGTTTAACTTACACTTCACGCTGACATGAATGCTTATTCTTTTTAAACAGTTTACATTAACTTTTATAGCTCATGACTGTTTCTTTTTCTTCTGCCAAAATGACTATAATGTATGTTTTTGCTGTTAGCCTAGCTTACTGTTGAAAGATAAAATATGGCTACTGTATGCTGATTTCCCCGCCCCAATAGGGACAATATAGCTGCTGCAGATATTAGTAGTGTGCAGTTGGAGGCCCAGCATGTGTTCACTCATCGGCGACAAATATCAGAGGATACAGAAAATCTAGACAACAGAGATTCCCCTGAGGTAAAAACAATCTCTAAATGTTTCTGAAATGCAAGTAACTTTTTAATCTAGTAAAAAAGCTTGTCTTAACTATTTGTAACTTGGAATTATTTTTTAAAGCGCTTTTTCTTTATTTTCTTTTTAAAGAGCTGGGAAATTATAACTGAAGATGAGGCAACAATGTATAGTAATCAGAACCTTCAAATACCTCTCTCACAGAGTAATTGTGATATACAGACTCATCTTGCAGAAGATTTGAATACCAGACTTACTACCTCTGGAAGTTCAGCTACTGGCCAGTCAGCAGCCTATACTGTAAATTATTTTTCTCATTTTTCTAATGTACAGAAATACCTATAATATTTGGGACAAAATGTTACTACTGATAGAATTAGATCCAGAAATACTTCATATTAACAATTATATTTTTAATTTCATCTTGAATGCAGTGAATTTAAGAGCAATCTTTTTACTATAGAACCCATCTAAGCAAACATTATATTCTTCCCCACTTTGCTTATATTAATTTCTGCCTTAGATTAAAGCAGACTTGCGTGAATTATTTTTCAGTCTGTAAATACCTCTTATTCTAGTGTCATACTGAGTGCTGCAGAAAACTACAGGTGAAGGAAGCTGTCTATATCCTGAAAGCTTGTTTCTAAGGGAGTTGGGCTTATATTGGTTACTTTTCCCACTATGACAAGCTTTAAGATAACTCCTTTTTCATTGTGAATGTTGGGATAAGGTTTTATGATTGGGCTGAGTAAACCTGATGACTCCATAGCAATCAAAAAGGGACCTCACTTATACAGTTCCACAGCCGTTGAGCCAGTTGTGAAACTTGTGTGACCTCTCAGTGAGTCTGTTCAGCTTTCTAACCCAGCAGAAAACTATTCTCTTGTTCCCCCAACTCTGTTTTTTTGTGGTTTCAGCAAGCTGAAATGGCATGCTAGGTTGTCTGACAAATACTACAGTGACAAAGGGAAGCAGCAGGAGTACATAGCCAGGAGTGAGACTTGTCTTTTTGGTGGTAGCAAGCAATCAAATAAGCTCAGCTGTCTTGTGAAACCCAAGCTCCACAAACAGCCTTGTAACCTGATATGTGGCTTGAGAAATCCACTGTCCATTGAGGAAAGCCTATAGAGGTGACCCAGATCATCTAGTCTGTAAGATTTTGGTATTTAAATAAAATCATTAGCTTTTGTGATGCTGAGAAAGTCAATTCCAAATTTACATTTGGAATGGTAATGTTTTTCTAAGTTTGTGCAAAAGCATCACTAGTGTTGCTGGAAACAGTGAAGTGAGAGTAACAAAACTCTATTTGATCTCTGCTATTGAGAATCCTATGGATAGCAAGAAAACTGTTATTTCAGCTTGCTTGGGTGGCCTAAGCAAAGGTAGAGGCAGATGTTGCTCAAATTATTTGCAAGAGCCAACTAGAATGATAGTCTTGCCTCCCTTCACCTCCATCACCCCCCCCCCCAAATAAATTAAAAAATTTAATCATGCCTTTTCTTTGAAGTGTTCTAAAAAGGGTATGTAGATAGGGGAAAAATCCTTCAAATAATCAGGGAAATTCTGGAGCAAGATGAAATACAAATAAGATCTAAATATGGCTCTAGGCAGAATGGCGGATGCTTATGCAAAGTCCGGGGATTGAATTACTCTTGTCAAACTGGATGTCTCAGACTCTCATATCTTGTCATTATTAACTTAATCTACTCTCTGAAAAGTTGTGTTAGCTCTGATATACCACAGGCTTTAGTCTACTGACAAGATAATGCAGTAAGTTCTATCCTGTAAATTCAATTGTAATGTAACTGGTTGCAATTAATATTTTACGTGCCAAAGCATCTGTTGTTAGGGTTTTCAGAACTTTCACAAGCCTCTGTATTATTCTGTTTTAAGGCTGTAATAGATACTGTGAACTTAATGTTTCTAGCAGTGTTAAAACAGGAGTTTCAAAAATATTATATTAAATTGACGTTTCAAAACAAATAAGATGTTTTGTTCAAGATAAAAACTGTAATATTTTATAGCGTGATAACTTTTGTTGACTGTTTGCTGCCATCCTTAAAGCTGCAATAATAATTAATGTGTCATTCCTCTTCACTACTTCAAGAACCATTCCAGCAGAAGAGGTAGTCTGCAAACATACAGAGTTGAAGAGCAGCCTGCACATCCGGTGGTACGTCATTTTCCAAAAAACACAGGCTTGTGTAGCAGAGAAGCTGAAGGATTTTCTTCATGTAAAAGGTTTTTGGTTTTTGTTTGGTTTTTTTTAAACTACGTATTACGTGCTGACATTCTAAATGAGATTTGGCCTTCTGCTTCTGGCAGCTGTCCTGACAAAATTGTGATTACGAGTCTAGCGATATTGGAGTTCAGTTGTAAAGCTTTCATGTTCCAGCTCTGGTTTTTGTTTACCGTTAGCTTAATGCATGGATAGAGCTTGCAGAAAGAAGTAGTCTTCCCATGAAGATAGAAGTTTTGCTTTTCAAATTGTTTGCTTTGTAATTAAAAGCTGTACCACCATCCGTACATTTTGTTTTCATGGTGACACTGCAAGCTGTGAGCTCATAGCTGGAAGTACTAGGCTGGATCAGCCATGTCTAAACCAGCTATATAAATGAATCCTTTTAGAAGAGGAACTTGAATTAAAAAAAAAAAAAAAAAAAAATTCTGTCACTTCACACTCTTCAGCAAGGACTTAAAAACTGCTTTTCTGTTTTATCCAGTTTGTGAAAATCATGAACCTTCTGGATTATAGTTTTGTTTTGTTGTTTTAATTTGACAGAGGAAAGCCTTTTCACAGTCAGTTTCATGGTTTTCTTAATTGTTTTTCTTCTGTTATCACTAATATTTAGTTACTGCCTACTTCATCTGGATTACCCCCAGGCTGGGAAGAACGACAAGATGAAAAAGGGAGGTCGTATTATATAGATCACAATTCTAGAACCACTACCTGGATAAAGCCAGTTGTACAGGTACTGTCTGTCTTCTGATTTATTCATGTTTTTATTAATTTAACCTTTTAAACATCTCACATAATATCAGTAAAGTTTAGAGACCTCTTTGAAATAGAACATGCGAAAGGCATAAACTGGTAAAGCACTACAGAAAATAGCTGAGAGAATGCAACGAGAGTTAGGAACAGTAGTACTTATGGCAAGTCACTCTACTATTAGTGTACCAAGAATCCCTTCTGGAGAGCGATAGCTGATTGAGAAACCTGAAAGACTTATTTTAACCCTAATCAGTAATTGTTAGTCAATGTTGTTGATATTAGACTAAACAAATCTATGTATTGTCTGGCACTTGCTTTATGAAACTGCTTTCATGAGTCAAAAATATAGGCTAATAGAAAAAATATATTGCTCTGCAGGGCTTTGATTTCTCTCTTTTTTTTTTTTTTTTTGGTCATTTACCATAGAGTGCTATGGAAACAAGTCAATTGTCAGCTGTGCAAAGTATTTCTATAGGAAGACAACCACAGGCAACATCAAGTGATTCGTCACAACAGTCTTCTCAGCAGCAGCCTGAAATGGAGCAAGGATTTCTCCCTAAAGGCTGGGAAGTCCGACATGCGCCCAGTGGGAGACCATTCTTTATTGACCACAATACCAAAACTACAACATGGGTAATGGAAAACTGCTCTTATGGACTGAAATTCTAGTTCCTGTCGAGTCAAAGCTTTGCTGCTTTCAGCAAGCTTCTGTAGACTTCTTTAGTGACAAGATAGCTGTGTTATGTCTGTTAAGGAACATATGTAATAAAAATGCAAATTCATTTAAAATATCTATCATGAGTAGAACATTACAAATTTTACAAACTGTATTGGTACTTGAAAGTTTAGCTTGGAAGGAGGAAAATACTGATGTCTATAGGAATGTATTTCGCAGATGTAAAGCATCTCCTAAATGACACTTCTGTCATAACTGTAAAACTGTGATAGCTTATATGCACGGTTAGCAGAAGTCAGTTTTGCAAACCTACCTTCAACAGGAAATCCATTACCTTGAATTCATCATATGGTACAGTGCACAATGCAAATTTCTATGAATTCTTAAGAAAGCAGGCCAGATGCAGCTACAATATGGATGAGGGAGTTATACAGCTACAATTCCACAGACTGTCACTGCATATCACTAGGCAGTGCTAATAGATGGACTTCAGCATTTAAAGAGTAGGTCAGTATTACTGTCAGGTGAAAGAGAAACAGAGAAATGCATTAAATTGATTAAAAATGAATACTCATTCCTTCAGGATTATGGAAAGACCTCATTTAATACAAATACCTTCCTCCTACCCGCCAAGAAACTCCAAACCAACCAACCAATGAACCAACAAAAAAACCAACCACCAAACCCAAAAAGCACAAGGTGTGCCAGAAACCATGTGGAAAGATTAATTCAACTCAATTACACTAAAACTGAATCGAGTGAAGGATATATATATATATACACACACACACACTTATGTATATATGTGTGTGTATACATATATACAAAATAAAGTGAGAAGTCATTAGAAGATGATTGTAAACTACTGGAGGACTGAGAATCCCCAGGGAACTACCTGGCTGCAGAATATGCAACAGTTATCTAGTTGGTACTAGGTATATTGTTTACACGATCACTAATAAAGAGGGAAAAAAGCAAAGCAAAACAAAACAAGAGGATTTTAACGTGCTGCTTGTTTTGTTTTCAAAGGAAGATCCAAGACTGAAAATTTCTGTTCATCCGAGGAGATCCCTAGATCCAGTAGACCTGGGCCCATTACCAGTAAGTAAACCATTTTATACTTGTTTTGCAGATACAACAATTTTAATACTTAAATTAGCACTATTGAAACTTGCACATGAGAAAATGCAGCCTGCTTTTTTGATATAAAAAATAGTCTATTTTGAATTCCAGTGCTGAGAGTATATGGCGGGGGGGGGGAATGCCCCCAGCTGCAGATCATGTTGAATTCTATGCAAACTATACAGTCAGAAATTTATTTAAAAGTGTCTCCTTCTTACAGCCAGGGTGGGAAGAGAGAACTCACACAGATGGAAGAATATTCTTCATAAACCACAGTATGTACAATGTAGTATTCTTCCCCAACTCATCATTTTTGTTTCTGAACATTATCTAAATTAACAGAACTAACTAAGAAATGTCTTGCAGATACAAAGAAAACACAATGGGAGGATCCTCGATTGCAAAATGTGGCAATAACTGGACCAGTAAGCTTTCCTTATGTAGCTTTACATATTTTTCAAGAATATTGTTAATAGAATCCAGACAAACTCTTGTCATTTATCAGGTACTCAGTCTAGAAGATGAAACTTCCAGGGTGTTTGAACAAGGCATTTTTATTTCTTTTTAAAGACTGTTTAGAAAGCTTTCTGTGGAAATGGTCTTTAAATGCCAAAAAGAAAAATTGGTTTGCAGAGTCGTAAGAAAGTTTCCTTATAGGCTGGGGGTGGGATTTGAAGTGGGTAAGAAACTTTATTATTTTTTTTTTATCCACAGTGTCCAAAATAATACTAGTTCAATTCATGAAGTAAACTTAAAAAAAAACCAAAACAAAACACCCAAGAAAAAAAAAGAAAATGGCTTTAAAAGGGGTGGAATAAATTTCCAACTGAAAAACAATAATCTAGCCTTGATACTTAATCCAAAGTGCAAAATTACCCGTACTAATTGCAAAGACGGTGCACATTATAATTATAGATGGGTTTTAGTGTTCAGCTGATATCTGTGTTTATTAATAGCCCACATATGTAAACAACCTTCTCTGTCCATGGAAAATAGAGGTGTTTGTAGCCAGGTCTGTCATGATACAGCAAGGAAAGACTATGCGTTATGTAAGTCACCAAAGGCATTTTGGTCACTTTGATCTGGGCCAGTCAGTGATCTTAGTCAGTCACATCAGCTAATAGTAAAACATCGGATAAATTCTATGAACTGATCAGAACAAATGATCTGAACAAAGAAGTACTTTTCATTCCAGATGTTTTGAACTCTCCATGTATTTATAAATTGAAAGTCTCCCCTGATACTTAGTAAAACATGTATTCCTGTTTTCTGAGAACTTAAATGCATGGTCTACGTTTCACAAATATAGACTAGTTTATATTACATTAATTGTTAGAGTATCTCAAGCACTCCCTCCCCCCCTTTTTTTTTTTTTCAAAGGCTGTGCCTTACTCCAGGGACTATAAGCGGAAGTATGAGTTCTTCAGAAAGAAGTTGAAGAAACAGGTTAGTAATCAGTAGTAATCCAACAGAAGGTTAAGAAACTTATGTCCCTAAACAAAGGAAAGCTTGGGTTACAGTGAAAGGAAATTGAACTTTGTAACCTGCTTAGGGAAGGTAGATTTACTGTCTGATCACGAATACATATGTGAAGCAGCAACTTGGTAACAATTAGCATTTAACCTAACAGTAGGGTTTGTGACTTTATGCAGTGATGAGACTGCAAGCAATCTGATTGAAAGAGAAGAAGTTCTAAAAGGTTAAAAAAATTGTGAACCTGGAAGTAGGCTGGCAACAGAAGAGTTTGGAAATTACTGATCTAGCACATAATAGTTTTTGGAACTCAGAATATGGAAATAGAAGTTCTCAAACTAGATTTTAGACTGTCCAGATAGAAATCTGTACTGTCATCTTGGTCAGGCTAGATGACTAATAAATTGTTATCACCTTAAAATCTTAAGTTTATGCATCTCATTTGCAAGTTCTACTTTGAAGTGGCAGTGCCAGATATATTTATAACACAAAGCATAAAAGACTGTAAATAGCATCTGGATATCCAGATAACAATGAGTCTTGCACAACTGCAATCAAACTTGGTGTCCTTGGGAGATATTTTATATGTATAATAATAGCCTTTGAGTTCAGACCCATACTTCACCTTTTATGTACCAAGTCTGTCTCTACCCTTTCTGAAACCTATGCATTTTGAGCTGTACACTAATGCATTTTGAGCATTGTACACAACTATATGTGCACCTCATTTTTTTGTGTTCCTAGTCAAACAAGCTTGGCATTCATTCAAATGTCATTATACTAATCTGAGAAGTGATAGACAGCTCAGCCACACAATATAATTGTAGTAATTCAAGAATTAAATACACAAGTAGATTTTAAAGCATACATTACTATTGCATTTTAAGCATTCACAAATACCAAAATGACAATTAGGGGAACAGATTGATTTTTACTGAGATATAATTATTGAATACTATTTTAATCAGCTAAGTTTGAGGTTAGTAATTGATTTTATTATTGCTTCAACTTTTTTCTGAAAATTTCATTTGCAACTAAAACCAGGATTTACTTATTTATTTTAGTTTAGGAATATTTACTGCTTTCCGAAATGATGAAAAAGACCTACATATTTCAGCCATGCTGTAAATTAGAGATATAATATTGCACAGTATTTTGCAACTTGGAAAATGACAAATTATGTGCTCCCCCACCCCAAGTAATTATTTTTTGTTTGTAGTTTGGCTCAAGCTGTTGTTGAATATAAATAGGCATTACATTTAAATGCAGCATTCTGGTTTTGTTTTTTTTTAATTTAGGATAGATTATTTAAGGAGTAGAAGAAAATAAAAAGGAAGCATATCTGAACACGTGCTGTTCAGAGTGATTTATTAAATATTTCTGCATTCAGAAATTCATTATTTCTACTGAGACTGTGACTAGTTCTTTGGAATTTGAAATATATTGAGTTTCACTGCATCATCCTAATCTAGTCATAGAGCAACATGACTTGAAATTTCCTGTTCCCACTTTCACTGAATTTCTCTATTTTACCTGAAGTAATTGCTGAAATAAACTGGCTGAAAACAAGTGAAATCAAGAAAATACTCTGTTCTCATATAGTGATTTAATGATTCAGCAAAGTTTTATTCCTGGTTTATTAGGAGCTTACTCTGAAAGCTCAGCAGCAAATATGAGCTCCTTGGATATTTTTATTTAAATATTTTCCTGTATGATAGTAAATATAAATCTTGTGATTTGTTCCTGTGACTTCAAATTTTAAGTGGACTGATATTTATTTGAATATTGTAGGAATACTTGTTTGTCATCTATGTCTTAAGTAAGAGAAAAGGACACCTAGCCTTATAGTTAGAATATTGAACTAGAAGGTGAAATAAATCCGGTAAAATTGTTCTAAAATAATTTTATTTATAAACTCTGAGCTTTTTTTTTTTTTTTATCAAGCCTATAATGTGATGAATTTTTAGTGTTAAATAGTTTCCATGCCTTGCTGCATGCAGAACAACTGAGCATATGCTGTTACCAGTAAGAACTTATTTTAACCCTGTTTTCTTGGTGTGAAATAGAACTTTGAAACTCTCCATGCTAGTTGAATTGTATGTAAATAGAGCCTCTTGTCAATCATATTGTGTTATGTTTCCAAATTATTTAAGAAAAGGATTTGTGTGCCATTCTTTGTTTATAGAATTTGCATACTTTGCAAGACTAAAAGATGCTGGGTTTTGTTCTATTATTCTATATTTTAATTTCTTTTTTTTTTTTTTTTTAGAGTGATATTCCAAATAGATTTGAAATGAAAATTCATCGCACAACAATCCTTGAAGATTCTTATAGAAGAATTATAGCTGTAAAGAGAGCAGATTTCCTTAAAGCAAGACTTTGGATTGAATTTGATGGTGAAAAAGGTTTAGACTATGGAGGAGTGGCCAGGGAATGGTTCTTCCTTCTCTCTAAAGAAATGTTTAATCCTTATTATGGATTGTTTGAATATTCAGCTACGTAAGTAATACAGGTCTAGAAGACATGCAGACTAGTTAGGGAAAGCAGATCAGTTGTATTTCTTATACAAACTTTAAGAATGGAATTACTTTTTTTCACCTCCTAAACTGTATAGGAGGGTTGTTAATAACTGCAATATTCTGCACCTAGTTCTTTGTTTGACAGAAGAATAATGTGGAGACAGTACCTGGTTTTGGTTTGGTTTTGTTTGTTTGTTTTTTTTCAGCAGTCTAACATAAGCCATGTTGTCTTTGCATAGATAAGCATATGCTTGCAACCATCTGTTACTTGCAGAAAAGGCAGTATTTAACAAATAATACAGAGAATGTTACTCTGACTACTTTAATAGGAGTTAATCCCTTCTCTTTGGTATATCTCTAACTTACAAAGGTAGTTAATGGTGTTTCAAAACTTCTATTTCTACTGTGCTAATAGAATCTTCTATTGAGTATTCTTTAATATTAGATTAGTGATTTATAAATCCGGTTATGATTATTCTTTCAACCTGATGAAAAGTAATACCTTATTTAACCAGGGATGTTTTCCAGATCTTCAAATGTGAGACTGTTCCAATAGTACAATATTTTGTTTTTCTTTTTCTTCCCTGCTCCCTCCCTCAACTTCAGAGATAACTATACTCTGCAGATCAATCCAAACTCTGGACTTTGCAATGAAGATCATCTCTCTTATTTCAAGTTTATAGGTCGTGTAGCTGGAATGGCTGTTTACCATGGCAAACTTTTGGATGGTTAGTATTTATTTTATGTAATACGATATTTAGATTAATACTGTGCATATTTTGAATTGTAAGTTACATACTGTTCAATTTATTTCTTCTTCTTTAAAGCCTTTTTTATTCGTCCTTTTTACAAGATGATGCTCCAAAAACCAATAACGCTTCATGATATGGAGTCTGTGGTATGTAATTTGCTTTATCGTGTATGTTAGGATTTCATGTTCATAATAACTTTTTTATATATCTTTAATGACATCGTGAAGGTTTGAAACTGCATGATTCAAAGAAATTTTAGGCTACGTCTTTTATAAGCCTGTATCATGGTTTAACCCTAGCCAGCAACTAAGCACCACACAGCTCCTTGCTCACCACCCTGCCCTGGTGGGATGGGGGAGAGAATCAGAAGGGTTAAAGTGAGAAAACTCATGGGTTGAGATAAAGACAGTTTAATAGGTAAAGTAAAAGCCGCGCACACAAGCAAAGCAAAGCAAGGAATTCATTCACTACTTCCCATCATCAGGCAGGTGTTCAGCCATCTCCAGGAAAGCAGGGCTCCATCATGCCCAACGGTTACTTGGGAAGACGAACACCATCACTCCGGACCTCCTCCCTTTCTTCTTCTTCCCCCAGCTTTATATGCTGAGCATGACGTCGTATGGTCTGGAATACCCCTTTGGTCAGTTGGGGTCAGCTGTCCTGGCGGTGTCTCCTCCCAACTTCTTGTGCGTCCCCAGCCTCCTCACTGGTGGGGTGGGGTGAGAAGCAGAAAAGGCCTTGATTCTGTGTAAGCACTGCTCAGCAGTAATGAAAACATCTCATCATTATCAACACTGTTTTCAGCACAAATCCAAAACATAGCCCCACACTAGCTACTATGAAGAAAATGAATGCCCTGCCAAAATCAGCACAGTCTGTAACTTGTGTAGGAATTAAAACTTCCAGTGAAAATCAGAGAGACCTAGACTCTGGTTTAAGTCAGTTAAGCTGTATTGAAAACTTAACTCTAAACTTTCTGTGATGTTTTCTTAAAATATTTTTAGACACTAGTGTTCTTAAAATTAAAAATAAACATCTTTGGGATCACGCTCTCAACCTGTTTTTTAAATTAGTTTGTGTCTTTTGATTATTAAAAAGAAAGGTATTCTTATACTTCCAGAGACTGAAAATATTTGAGTGATGCTATGTAACATTTTTAGAGGAAAACATGGTCCTTACAATATTCTTGTTTGTTTGTTCCCCTGATAATGATTCTTACCTAGAGTAGTCCTGGGCAGGGTGATTTTTATTCAGTCTCTTTAATCTAATACTGTTTTTGCTGTCCTATAAGAATACAGAATATAGTTCCTGTCTGTTTCTGAGTAATAGATTTATAGATGTGTCCTGATTTTTTTTTCTCAGTACTGTAGAATCATAGAATGGATTGGGTTGGAAGGGACCTTGAAGATCATCTAGTTCCAACCCCCCTGCCATGGGCAGGGACACCTTCCACTAGACCAGGTTGCTCAAAGCCCCATCCAACCTGGCCTTGAACGCTTCCAGGGATGGGGCATCCACAACTTCTCTGGGCAACCTGTCCCAGTGTCTCACTGCCCTCACAGTAAAGAATTTCTTCCTAATATCGAATCTAAATCTACCCTCTTCCAATGTAAAACCGTTACCCCTTGTCCTATCATTACACTCCCAGTTAAAGAGTCCCTCCCCATCTTTCCTGTAGGCCCCCTTTAAGTACTGGAAGGCCTGTACAAGGTCTCCCTGGAGTCTTCTCCAGACTGACCAACCCCAACTCTCTCAGCCTATCCTCATAGGAGAGGTGCTCCAGCCCTCTGATCATCTTCCTGGCCCTCCTCTGGACCTGCTGGAGCAGGTCCATGTCCTTCTTGTGTTGGGGACCCCAGAGCTGAACACAGGTGGGGTCTCCCGAGAGCGGAGTAGGGGGGAGAATCATCTCCCTTGACCTGCTGGTCATGCTTCTTTTGGTGCAGCCCAGGATGCGATTGGCTTTATCTTAATTTTAATTTTCTGAGGCTCTTCGTAGTAATGCCTAACAATACAGGGAAGATAAATACAGGACGAGAGGCAGAGTCGAGTCCAAAATACGTTAATTTAGATAATGCTTTGGCATCTTATCACCAGTTCGCTGCGTGAGAGATTTTTAGTCCTGAGATTGCCGAGTCTTCAGGTTTCAAACATCTTTAAATGTCTTTGTAGCTTTGTATAATTGCAGAGTCTCTGCATCCAATACAGGATTATTCTAGGTAGCAGCATTCACTGGGCTGTAATGGAGCCTCTTGTAGCTTAAAAGGTGCCTACTCTATTTTGTATTTACTATTTTGTAATTCTTTCTCTTAGGATAGCGAATATTACAATTCTCTGAGATGGATTCTTGAAAATGATCCAACAGAACTGGACCTCAGATTTATAGTTGATGAAGAACTTTTTGGTCAGGTTAGTATGTTTATGTAAAGTAGAATAGACAAAACATGAAAGAAAACATTTGACCTGTGAAATTAGCTGATTTTTATCTCTATGGTATTAAGCAAAACCCTTCATTCATAGTCATGTTGGTTTGTTCACTCAGCTGCTTCTTTTAGCTGGCACATGCTCATGCAGTGCTCTGTTAGCCTGGCTGTGATGTGATAAAAGACTTGGAAATAAGCAGAGCTTTAAAAAATAGGATGTGCTTTTTTCTTAAATAATACTTGTATTGAAATGTAGCTGTTGCTGTGAATGCAACTGAGACTAAGATATCCATAGTCCCATTACTTAATCTGGAGTAGAGGCTGGTTTTATGTGATTGGCTGGAAAGGATGAGCTCTTTTGGAAGTGGTAGGAATCATAGATTTCACTGGGAGATAATAATAGAGGTTTTTCTCTTAACATGTACTAGACAACTATGGAATAAACAAGTTCATTGCTGTGTAGAAAGCTATCCAAGATAAGTCATGTAGAAATACCACAGGTCTTGAATAAAAATTCCAAATTAGGGGTGCCAACTAGATCTAAGTAGGATAATAGCCTTTGTGGTCTTGTGTAACTAAAGTGATCCTAAGTAGGAGCATGAAAATGTACATCTGTAATGAACTGAAAATCAGGTATTTGTCTACTGAGGTTCTAGTAGTATAAATCATTATGTAACAGATATGCATATTGTTTCACTTATTTATTGGGACCATTGCTGAAATTGTTCTGTAAGTGTTTTTCCTTGAGATCTGGAAAAAAGGCTGAGTCACTGAATATGTGGTTAGTAAAGACCACATTACTGAGAACTTGTGTGCGAACTTATGTAATCTGTTGTAGCAGGTCAGAAAAAAATTGAGGTTGCCCCATTGCAGTCTGGCATGCCTGAATAATACTTTTTTTAAATCAATCAAAGTCTATTTTTTCAGGTGACCTGTGAAACTGGTTCTATTTCTCATAGTTTTCAAATTCTGCAGTCTTCAAAAGTTAACTAAATTACCTAATATTAGCATATGAATTCTATTACATACTTATCTCATTTAAGACCTATTCTATGTACTGCATTTAGACCCATCAACATGAACTGAAAAGTGGTGGATCAGAAATAGTTGTCACCAACAAGAACAAGAGAGACTACATTCAGTAAGTAGTGGTCACTACGTGCAATGTGTCTCACTGGATTTCCCCTCTAGTAATAGGGGCTGTGTGTTAGTTGTATTAACAAAAGGAAGTTGTTGCTTTGTATATGAATTGCTTTTATTTTAAATGTTTTTGTCTTGGTTTTTTACAGTCTCGTAATTCAGTGGAGATTTGTGAGCAGAGTGCAGAAACAAATGGCAGCCTTTAAAGAGGTATAGTTTTAATTACAAAAGAAATTCTAAGAATTTGTTGCATCTAATCTTAAGATGAGCTTTTTTGGGCATCCTGAAGACCCACAGATAATGTTGTTACAGGTATAAAAAAGGCAGTGATACTGTTTGTAGTGTCAGCGTTGAATTATTTCAGACATAAAAATATTTTTGGTATGTTTTTACTGCGGTGTTTAATTCATATTGAAAAATTTGCTTATTTCTCAATCCTGGCTGACAGCTTTAGCTTTAGTGCAAGCTATTTAATGAACTCTGCAGAAATGAAAATTAAATCAAACTAGTAGAATTAAATTAAACTAGCTGGTTTATCCTTATTTGTATAAATTATATTACATATACGATATTCAGACTTAGAAATTCACCATTCACTGTTGCACAATAAAGATGTGAGATAAGTCAGAATTAAAAGTACTATAACCAGACTGGGGACTGCTGGTGTCCAAACATCTGTATTTGATGTATTGCTTTGGCTCTGTTTACTAAAGCATCTAAATACCATTCTCAGTGAACAAAAATGCTTAAATAATGTTGACTTGATTTTTAAAAACTTCCCTCCTTTTCAGGGCTTTTTTGAACTAATACCACAGGATCTGATTAAAATTTTTGATGAAAATGAGCTAGAGGTAAGTGTATAATGGAAAAGAAAACAAATTATTTTGAAACTTTATGTTACTGACTTAAACTTTGGTGGTGTTGTTTTTTGTTTTGTTTTTTTTTATCTGTGTAGTTATTAATGTGTGGACTGGGAGATGTGGATGTGGCTGATTGGAAACTACATACAAAATACAAAAATGGCTACAACATAAACCATCAAGTAATACAGTGGTTCTGGAAGGTATATAATGAATTTCTAATATTTTTTTACTTAAAACCTGTTCAAAAGCTGCTGCCTTTCAGCTATGCTAGTTTATCCTGTGATTCATGAATAGGTAGGTAAATATTTGACCATTAAAATTCCTGAGAAAGATAGTAAGAAAACTAAAGATGAGATGCATGGTAAGAATGTAAATACGGTACTGATACTTGCTTTTTCAAAAAAAATTCATGTCTGACTGGGGTTAAAAATATTTCTGTGTAGTTTTTTCTGGCATGGTTCCATTAAAGAGGTGTTAAACTTTTCTGTTTAATAAATTACAGGAATTTGGCTGCTAGTTCATAACATCAGGAAAGTTCAAAGAAAGTAGGGGCCAAATCTTCAAGGGAAGTATTTTAACAGCCTGCTAAGCCAGTAACCGTACTCTTGTTACAGTGCCATTAAAAAATTGTTGACTTCATAGCTTTTAGCAATAGCAGAGAAGTAGACTATGTGTGTCACTAAAAAAACCTGCATATATATAAAGGATAATGATTTAGAGATAGAAACTATGTTGCATAAATCTGCTAGCTTAAAACCTTAATTTAAAAACAAATCTTTAATTGGAATCATTATCTTACATAGGCAGTCTTAATGATGGACTCTGAAAAGAGAATAAGATTACTTCAATTTGTTACTGGCACATCCCGTGTACCTATGAATGGGTTTGCTGAGCTGTATGGTGAGTACTTACGATTATACTCACAAGTAACAGAACATGCTGACATTGTGATATTTGACTTCAAACATAAGCACATTATTTTTCAAATTTTGCTTTAAAAATCAGTATACACTGGCAGTTATAAGAAGCAAAGCTAGAGAAGAGTCACTTAGATCACGTTTCCTATGTTCTGTAAATGCTTCATATTAATTCTGGTTTTGGAAGTTTTTAGATGTATAGGACTTCCTCAAATGAATGTGGATTTTTAAAATTCTAAAGAGCTGCAAAAATCCCTGTTTACACTTGATTGAGCTTGAAGAAAATTCTCAGTTTATCCGAGATCTGATTGCAAAGACATGCTAGCATCAGCAGTTATTCACATTCACCTAAGTTCCCCAATTGCATTTATCTGCTCACAAGCCACAGTTGTACAGATACAATTGTTTGTAAGGATATACTCTGAAGAGGACCACTGAAATGACACCAGTTAAACATAACGCCAAAAGAAAAGTAGTGAACCTACAATGCAGAGACTGAAACAAGCGGATGGCACTGGGGAGCAGACTTCAACACCAAAGCCAGAAAACCCACTGTGGAAAAACCACAGGGAAGCAGATAGAACAGCCCACAAATGGGGGTATTTTGCCTATGGGAAGTCTGTTTTCAGCTGCCATCAGCTATTATGTTTTCTGCCAGACTACTTTATTAAGGCTAAAAGTGCTTGAGATCCTATGCAAATGAGTGAATAGCCTGACTTGCATATTTGAATAAACATTTCCTTCTTTGTAAACAAGACAGAAATTTGTTTATAAAACACTAGAATTGTGAACAAATACCACCCACCATGTGTCCCCATTTCTCCATCTCTTCATTTTAATTGTAAATACTCAGTTTATTTTTTCTGTTCCATCAGCGAATGAGTTGTGAGTTCCAATGGGAGGGACAGTGCCCTCAGCAGACTTGAGCCATGTGTGTGCTGTTGCACCTGAACCTTGGTACTGTTGGAGTTACAGCACATGCTCATCGCATTGGAACCCAATCGGAATTCTGCTGCCTCTGGCTTTTTGTTTGTCTAAACACACTACCAGAGATAGAACTAAGGAATGATATAGGGAAAGAAACTGTTGAAGCTCTTGGCTCCCTTCTTCCCAAGGATTAGGATATCCTTGGGCAGTCTTCTGGTCAAGTCTCAGTTGCTGTAGTTCTGTTTACTCATTAATGAAAAATCTAATTACAGTTGTCTTGCACAGTGCTTTGTTTCTTTCTCTTAGTTATTTCTGCTTTACTGTGGCCAGCATGCCATCCTTACTAAACCCCAGTAATGAACACAATCACATTTCCAGTACCTGCTTGTATTTGGAGAACTGTAGGTGGTTCTTCAGTGCTTTGTGTTGGTATGTGACTCTTGCTGCTGCCGGGCTGCCCATGTGGTTCTTACCACCTTCGGGCTGCGGTCCTAGAGCTGGCTTTCTAGCGGGAGACCTCCCTCTTGTGGCCCAGAGAGAAATTTCTGCTCATAAAAAGGGAGTACTTGGTGTCTGGGAGCAAATCCACCCAAGTTTGAGAACTAGGACACTGAAGAGACGTGGCTTTCTTATATTTCTTGTCTTCCCCCTACCCTGCTTTGTCAGCCTTTAGTTAATTAGTTGGATAGCTAAAATGCAAACTTATTCTTACCTAGCTATTAAGAGGGAGTTTTTTCTTACCATCAGTCATAGAGCCACTTCTCTGCCTCATCCTTATTCCAGACGTTCCTACTAGTTACTTTTTCTAACCAGCCTTCTGCATTGAAGAAACATGTAATCCCAAAGAAGAAAGTAAAGAAGAGGAGCTGAAAGTGTTCCCACAACTACTGACATACCTGTCTCACTGATAATATTTTAGGATGAAGTGCTCAGTGTTTGCTCTCATCTGTCTAGTTCATTCACTAGACTTGTCTGAAGTATAGTTTCTGTGTATTGATTGGTATTTCCTGCCTTTTTGTGTATGTTAGTAGTTGTGAAAGGTTTTTTTCCCCCTTGTTTTATTTTCATGTTTGGGATTAATTGTCTTGGGGTTTTTGTTGGTTTGGTTGTTCCCCCCCCCGCCGCCTCTTGTATAAGTTGGCTAACATCTTCCAAATCCACTTCTGCAATGTGCATTATTACATGTTGTTATAATATAATTTCATTTTATTATGAATATGTATACATTTCTTTTTTCATGGCTCTCTAAAACCACAAATGAAATATTTTTGAATTGTCAGTTATAACTTGCGTAGTCAAAAAAACCACCAACATTTTGGAGGAGTCATGAAAAAAAGGGAAGGTGTCTGCCTGCATTATAAAACCAAATTCATTTCATGTCTAAAGGTACTCCACAGCACTTATACCTCAGATGTATTCTTGGATCAACCTGTTCTCATTACTGCTGCTCATATTTAATCTGAAACACGTTTCACATCTTCCATTTCAGAAGCAGAAGGCTACTCATACTTGGGTAGCCGTCTGCCTTGCAGTACAATTCTCTAACTATATTGATGGTCATCTTGTAGACTAGTCAGAGGACACCCACTGTCAGAGATCATCTGCTGTTCTCTGACAAGATAGTGGTTTGATTTTTTTTTTATATATATTTTTTAATTACACAGTCTTCTCCAGACATGCACAAATGCTTTCAACAGCTTAAGGAAATGGTTACAAAATGCCCTTTGCATCCTCTTGGCGAGAGTTGAGAGGTCCAGGAAACTTTCAGAAACATGCCGTAAGAGAGTTGCTGAAGGCACAGGCATATCTGGAGTTGGACTTGCTAGCCAAAAAACTTCTCTTGGGTGCCTGTGTACATCCCTGGAGTACACATACAGCCACCGTGTTTCAAAAAGTTCTCAGTTACTCTACTTTGTTGTTGCATAGGTAAAGGTGGACACTGAATACTTTCTGCCAGGTTATATAACTTGGCACATTGTGATAAACATGTCTAAATTTTTACATGCAAAACTTATACACTATAAAACTATCATCTGCACAAAATTTTCCATGCCAACTACTTTGCATATGCATTTGGGTCTTAGACTTCTGAGCTTAAGGTGTGAAAGTCTCTTGAAATTAAGATATAGCAAGAAATAATTAAAAATACAAGTGAGTTGGGATTATTGACCATTACTGAGTGTAGACTGTATTTGCTTCATATAGATAGCTCCTACTAATGTCAGAATTGGATTACAAAACTCCAAAATATTTCATAATTTGAATTTCTAATTATAAAAATCTCATAATGGGGTGAAAATTGATGTATTCTTTTCTGCAGGTTCAAACGGACCACAGTTGTTTACAGTTGAACAATGGGGTTCCCCTGAAAAACTGCCAAGAGCTCATACCTGGTGAGTATTTAATTTAGGTAAATTATGGCCTTTAGTAAGAGTGATAAAATACTTAAGAGTTTTCATCTGTTTTTCAGCTTTAATCGCTTGGATTTGCCTCCATATGACTCATTTGAAGATTTATGGGATAAACTTCTTCTAGCGATTGAAAATACTCAGGGTTTTGATGGGGTTGATTAAGACAGACATGAATTGTATCAGTCCAGTGCTGCAATTTCATTTTAAGGGTTTACAAACAAATTTGAATTTTCCAGGGACTACCATTGTATTTAGTCACATGGTTATTGATAGTATCACTTGTAATATAAGTAAATATTAAAAATTCACTAACTTTTGAAAATGTATTTTGCCATTTTCACAGTTTTGTGTACTTTGCTAATAACTACAATATACACATTGGATGGGCCAGTGCCAAGTAAGTAAAAAAACTAAAATGTTTTTAAGCAGTTGCCTCTTCTACAGTATTTGTCAGACTGTCCTGCAGTAAACTACTGAAGTAAAACTGTGAAGAAATCTTTGCAGGGGTGTAAATTTGAATTGCTGCTTTAAGAGGAACAACTGAAATTGTTAAACTGTTTTTAAAAAAACCAAACAACAACAAACCAAGCAAAACCAAAACCAACAAACTTCATGTAATGCAATATCATAATCTGTGCTGCTTCAGGCTGTTTGCTACAGATCTGCCCAAAGCACCTTATAATACAGCATATTAGGTGAAGCATTGGAAAGTATTTGTTTGCATTATCAGCCATCAGTTTGCAGAACATTGACTTGCTGACACATTTTATTTGTTAGATTTCTTTTTCTAACTTGCTTTTGTTAAAACAGTGTAACAAAACCAGAATTTTTATATAAAACAGACAAGCAGCATAATTCTGAATTGTAATGAGAAATTATATCAATTTTTTGTCTGAATTTGTATACTGTCGTTGGTTTATTGAGTTTTCATCACTTTTTCTTGATAAATTTGTAGCTCAACGATGGATAATATTTTCAATTCAGCCTTTTGCAACAAATTAATCTGAAAGTGAAATTTGTATGGATATCACTCAGTATTAGTTACTGGTAGTTAGAGGCCTTTATTATCCATTCTTGCAGTATTGCACTACGTAACAATAAAGAACATGTTTACAGGGTTTTCTGGGCCAAATTCAGCAGTCTGATATGTGCAGACTTCTCTGAACTGTGTGGAGGTTATGCACATGTAACCAGGTGCAGAATTTGGTTCTGTAATATGTTTACAGGTTATGCTAGTTTCTATAGCTGCATTTTTATATTTTTTTTTCTCCACTGTTAGTCTAGAAACCAAATTTGTTAATACAGTATAACCAAAGTCATAACCAACAATGTGCAATTTATTGTAGATCAATTTGTCATATAAATATTAGTTTGAATTCTTTTGTAAATTTGGATATTTTTTGTATTAATGTTAAAACTTTTTTTTGAGCAAGTGCTGGTTAAAAGGATTAGCAAAGTTGGTTCTAAAAATAAAAATTGGTTTATATACCTGGCTTGCTCTAATTTTAACATTTTATTACCAATATGATCTGAGGAAATGACAGTACCTAGCTTTGGCCAGCAAATTTCTGTTTAGTCACAGTCTTTATAAATATGCAAGAAGGAAGTGTAGCACATCTCTCTATAAGGATATGTAAATTATGTAACAAATGTAATAGGTCTTAAGGGATATTTAAAATCCCACTTTGTTTTATTCTTTGACTAGGTTGTTAGGGCTGAGAATATTACATGTAAATAAAGGTAACTTATACAATTTTCCCAAATCTATATGCAGTTTTGTAAAACATGAATGATATATCAGTAAATCTGTATAGATTTGAATGTAGCAGGTTTTGTTGCATAAAGCATAAAATAAGGATCCTGAGAGCAGTAAATAAAAGTTTATTCTAGTAAGTTGTGACTCAGTTCTTTGAAGTGCAAATTGGTAGTCTTGAAATAGCAAGAATTCAGTAATTTTAGTACTCCTAGGTAGACCGGGACAGCAGTTCCACTACTTCTGTATAAGTGTTGAGGTACAGCAGCGCTGTTTCCTAGTGTTCTGCTCCCAAGACGTGCAGTCTTTGAAAAAGTAATACCATGTTTTTATAAAAGCTGTAGGTTGCTGTGAGCCTTTTTTGTATGGCCAGTCTAGAAAGCCCACACGGCAGACAGGCAAAGGTGGAGGCCCCACAGGAATGCCAGCTGACTGCTGCTGAGGGAGGGTCAGGCTCCTCTCTCCTACTGTAGGAACACCCTTCTCAGATGGTCGACAAGCGCACAGCCAACAGACTTTAGTGGTGAGCGCGGCAGGGGTGCGAAAGGGGCCCTGAAACTCTGCCCCAGGCAGCGTGGACTGCCCAGCAGTGATGGGGTTGCACCGCAGGGCTGGGGGAAGCAGCCCTGGTGTGTGGGTGGAAGCTCCTGGAGAAGGATGCTGCTGCCAGGTCTTGGGCCACAGGGAGTACCTGGCACCTATTCCTAGAGCCAGGGCAGGGCTGGCCTTGCCCGCAGGAGCTCTGCTGTGGGCAAGGCACTGAGTCGCCCCATGAAAGAGCTACAGGAGAAGTGAGCAGACTTGTAACATTGGGGAGGATGAACAGCAAGAGGTCATCAGGGTCTTCGCAGAGACCTTGTACAGACAAAAGGCCAAACCACGCAGTGGGAGTAAGAAGGGGCAGCTGGAGACTACAGGGCGGGTGGTGGATGGAGATTCCCAAGATGGGTGAAGCTGGAAGCTTGTGACTTCTGGCATCAGAAGAAGGGCTTCTTCTCCACCCTTGGATATGAATTTACAAAATGGCTATGGTGCTGTAATAGATGAAGAAAGGAACAAGTTGCATTAAGGGAAGCATTCAGAGCCAGATGGGCCTGAACCAAACATTCATGCCAAGAAGTGGTGGGTGATAAGACTGCAGAGTCCCTTCTGTGGGCTTTAAACTAGGTTTGTTGAGGAATGGTGGTAACAGCTTGTGGTTAAGTAAGAGAAGAGAGGTCAGTGGTGCTAAGTACTGGAGCAGGGTGATGGGAGTGAGGCAGCCCTTGTGGAGGATGCCACAGGTTGAAGGGGGCCCACCTCATGTGCCTGAACACACTCACAGGCAGCCAGGGGAAGACGAGGAGGAGCAAGAGACATGGCTGGTATGGCTGGAGCCGCTCAGATGCGGGGAGATCTGTGGAAGGGGTGACAGGCTGGTACAGAGCTTTGTGGGTCTGGGTCAGAGGAGACACCATGGGTCAGGAGACACCAGTATGGGAAACATCCTGGTGAGGACTTGTCACAGGCTGCCTGTTTGTCATGAGGAAGTGGGCAGAGTGGTCTTTGAAGCATCTCAAGGAATTCCAGATTTGCAAACCCTGGCTCTTATAGGAGGCTAAACTCCCTGACATCTGCGGGAAGAGCAATGTGAGGGGGTGCAATGTGCGAGGCTTCTGGAGGGGGTCACAAACAGCTAAACAAGGGTGCTAGCTTGGCCAACCAGGGAGATGTTCTCCTGGATCCGCTGCGTGTCCCAACGTACTTCTATCTTCTGTACATCACACCTCCGTATTCCCTGAAGCACATACACTTAGATTTTGGGGGGGCAACTCCAAAGTTGCTACTATGAACACTTACCTGTTTTTTTCAACAGAAACACTGTTCCTGGTATGGCTCTGTGTGCCAGCTGCAGACATCTTACTATGGCATTACAGATGAGATTTTAACAGCTGCTTCCACGTGTGTTAACAACCATCTCTGTTACACTGTAATTTCTCTTAACACCCAGCAGTGCCAGATGAGGGGTAAGGCAGGAAAATTTCCCAGGTAGGTAAGAGCTAAATGTACCAGTCTGCTGAAAAATGGAGTATAGAGGGTTGACATTGGTAAGAGATTTTGTGCAGATCTGGTTAAAAAGCATAGATCTGTGAAGAAACTATCTTTTAAGGGGAGACTTGAGCAAGATGCTAATTCTGGAGCAGGGACTAGACCATAATAGGAGGGAGAAGATGGCTGCAACAGGAACAGTTTCACTTTTCTCATCTTTAAAAACACTGCACTGAAAATTCACGGGTGTCTGTCTGTGGTAGTGGTTTTCTGGGCTGCTCCAAGCCTGAGAGCTGTAAGCAAACCTGTACCCTGCCATTCACTTTGGCTTCTGCAGGTAAATATGGATTCCAACCGGCTTTTATGGAACCTGAAAAATAGAACTGAGAGTCTGTCCCGTGTTTAGTTTTGGGGTTTGTGTTTGTTTTTAATTTTTAGCACGATTCCGCGGCCCGCCCTCGGCGCCTTCCCG